ACTACGACTACTAGTACGACTACTACTATCACTGCTACTACTACTACTACTACTACTACTACTACTACCACTACTACTACTACTACTACTACTACTACTACTACTACGGCTACTATCACTACTAATATTACTACTACTACTACTAATACTAATAATTATACGACCTACCCATACTACTACCACTACTACTACTACTACTACTACTACTACTACTACTACTACTACTACTACTACCATCACTGCTACTACGACGACTACTACTACTACTACGACTACTACCACTACTTGTACTACTACTACTACTACTACTAGTACTACTACTAGTACTACTACTACTACTACTACTACTACTACTTCCACTACGACTACTACGATTACTACTACTACTACGACTGCTACTACGAGTATTGCTACTACTACGACTTCTACTACTACTACTACTACTACTACTACTACTACTACTACTACTACTACTACTACTACTACTACTACTACTACTACTACTACTACTACTACTACTACTACTACTACTACTACTACTACTACTAACTACTACTACTACTACTACTACTACTACTACTACTACTACTACTACTACTACTACTACTACTACTACTACTACTACTACTACTACTACTACTACTACTACTACTACTACTACTACTACTACTACTACTACTACTACTACTACTACTACTACTACTACTACTACTACTACTACTACTACTACTACTACTACTACTACTACTACTACTACTACTACTACTACTACTACTACGACTACTGCGACTACTATGTTCACTACTACTATACTACTACTACTAATAATATCGCAGCTCCTACCACTTCTACTACCACTACTACGACTTCTTCTACTACTACTACCACCACTACTCCTACCAGTACTACTACTACTACGACTACAACTACGACTACTGCTCCTACTACAGACTACTTCTACTACTACTTTTACTACTACGGCTACGGCGGCTACTACTACCGACTACTCATACTACCACTAGTGCTACGAATACAACCACTAATGGTATGATCCGTCATACTTTTATCATTGTCAACTCACCATGACTACGAATATTCTTAGTATTATTGGTGTTTCATTAAAATGAAAGTCCTTACTACGATCACCCTATAAGTTTGTTTAATGGGTATTCGTACTAGTATTATCGGGGATGGACAGACCTCCCTTTAGTAAAACGTGGTTTAGTGAAAACGACCTGAGGCCCAAACCTGGCGGGCGCAGGCCTGGAAAATAACGGCCACGGCGCCCTCTCGAGAACCGAAAACGGACAATTCACTAGTCGACGTGTCACTGTTGGGGGTTCTGTCCACCCCCGATATTAGCGTATAGCACTATTAGTATTAGCTTTCTTATTACTAGTGTTGCCGTTGCTGTTAGTATTGGAAGTAACGTTACTATTACTCATACTATTAGTAGGCTAACATTGTTAGACTGAGTGTTGATGTTATATGTATTCGTACTCTTGATACTATAATTAGTAGTATTCTTATTCTTCGCATTAGTACTTGTAGTGGTTGTCGGAAAGAAAATTCGTCTAATAGTTGCATTAGTCTTAGAAGTATTGGTAATCAGAAAATTAACATTGGCAAAATTGAATGTGTTATTCGTCTCCTTTTCCAACCAGAAGATACTATCTGTATTAGCACTACATCGGCCCAGTGAAAATTCTTCCAATGTTCGTCACATCGCTCGCTCGCGGAAGCCGACGGAAAAAGAAACGAGGCGGAAGACGGCAGAAGGCCGTCGGAAGGCTAGCGGAAGACAGAGGGAATAAATGACGCCCCGTCCGAGCCCCCCTTAACCCCCGTAGATGCCTAGCAATGTAGTATTCTGCCGCGGGCCGGACGGGATCCCGCCTAACTCACTCCCTTGTACTATTATAGGTTTAATAAAACCAAGCTAAAATCTCACCCATTAAAAAATATGGCAAACAAATCCGCCGATCCGGCGTGTGAGTTTCAAGGAGTCTCAGCTACAGCCTCGAGGCTGAGCCTCAGCCTCTGGGGGGGTTGCCGGGGTGGCTCTGCCGGGGAAGGGGGGATGGGGGGGGGGGTGCGAGTTTCCGGCGGATGCGGGGTGACGGCCCAAGAGCCCCCCCAAGCGTCCCCAAGAAGACCCCAAAGATGGACGAAAAGCGGAAAAAGCGGAGGCCCCAAGAGCTCCCAAGAGGGCCCCCAAAAGCCTCCAAGAAGCGCCCCAGGACGCCCTGACAGGCCCCTAAGATGCCCCCAAAAACGCCCCCAGACGCCTAAGAGCTCCCAAAAGGGCCCCCAAAAGTCTCCGAGAAGCCCCCCAGGACGCCCTGACAGGCCCCCATGTCTGCGGCGCGGGTTGGGTGGTGTGACTGCGTGTGTGCGTTTGAGTGTGCGCCCATAATGTCTGCGTCTGGAGAATAACCCCGAGCGACCCAGATCGGCGGCACTGGCCGAAGGCCACTACAATATCCTCGGTCGTTCGCGGGCCCCGCCATGCTGGGATCCGCTCGAAGTAAGTTTGGGCTCTGAACTTGCAGCAGTCGTGGCGTGACACGGTCGTCTTGAGGTCATGTTGAGATCATATATGGGTCATGCTTGGATGGCGCAGCCGTCGCGTGTCCATTCTGGGGCCACCGTGGGCACGCGTGGATCCATCTTGTTGCCATCGGGCCATCTCGGCGTCACTCGTGGCTCATGTGTTTGGTCATCTTCGAGTCGGCCTGAGACGGTCCAGAATCCATGGCGGGATCGTGTTGGGGTGGCGTCGTCCCAGGGCCGGCTGGACGTATCGCCTTTGGCCGCAGGCCTTCCTGGAACAGTGTTGTGGCCATGGGGACGTTTTGGTATCTCGCGCGCGTTAGCGCTTAGCACGCGCGACAATTCATCTCGCCGATGGGTGTACACGCATATGCTTCTTGCTGTGAGTATCCAAGGACACTGTTGTTCGAACCCAGTATTACTCTTATGGATCGCAATGATACTTATATGCGTTGTCTTCTCCTCATGCGTAGTACTCTTCGAGTTCTTCATACTCTTGATAATCGGTTTTGCAGTCTTGGTAAAAGCCATAGTAGAAGTATTCGTCAAACTCTTCTCATTCGTATCCTTAGTAAATCGTCGTATTCGTCGTATTGGAATCATACGTCTTCTTCGTATTCTCAATGTTGGTCTTCGTCCTCGTCCTCCTCTCCTCCACTTCCTCCTCCTCCTCCTCCTCCTTCCTCCCTCCCGCTCCTCCTCCCCCTCCCCCTCCTCCTTATTCTCCTCCTCATCCCCCTCCCCCTCCTGCTCCTCCGCCGTATGGATTGCGTTTTGGGTGCGCTTCGGCTTTGGGGGCGTGGCAAGCAAAGTAACCGCATCTTGGTCAAGAAGGGGCCGCCGGTGACACGGGTATCACACGTCCATGACGAGGCACTGATAATACCGTCTTGCTCCTGCTAGGACCAAAGAAGTGCTAGTATACTTGTTCACATCTACATATACGCATATATACATAGAGAGGGATGTATATACGTGAATATGTGCAATGGGTGCAGGCAGCTGAGTGCCTCTCCGAGCCCCGAAACTGGAAATAGTGCCCATGCTGACTGGAGAAGCGCGCTGAAAGCGTGGGGGCCACGTTTCCCCCAACCAAGTCCTGCGCCGAAACATCAGACCTTGAGCCAAAACGGCTACGGCCTCCGATACCTCCTTCTCCTCTTCCTGTTCCGCTCCTCCTTCGTCCTCTCCTCTTTCGTTCCCCTGTCCTCCTCCCTCATTCCTCCTCCCACTCTCTCTCTCTCTCTCTCTCTCTCTCTCCCTCTCTCTCTCTCTCTCTCTCTCTCTCTCTCTCTTTTGTTTTCTCTCTCTCTCTCTCTCTCTCTCGCTCTCGCTCTCTCTTCCTGCTCAACTTCTTCTATTCAACCTTCCTACCACTCCTGATCACTGTCATGCCCAGCCTCATTGTGGTACATTCGAACGCATGCGAAGACGAGCCGTTCGTCATCGTCATCATCATCATCATCATCATCAGCATCATCATCATCGTCATCATCAGCAGCAGCATCATCATCACCATCATCAGCAACATCATAATCATAATCATAATCATCATCATCATCAGCAGCATCATATCATCGTCATCATCGTCATCATCGTCATCATCCTCACCATCATCATCAGCATCATCCTCGTCCTCGTCCTCATCCTCATCCTCATCCTCATCCTCATCATTATCATCAGCATCATCATCATCAGGATCAGCATCATCGTCGTCATCATCGTCATCAGCAGCAGCATCAGCATCCGCATCAGCATCAGCATCAGCATCAGCATCATCACCACCACCACCACCATCATCATGATCATCAGCATTATCGTAAATCTTCAATCGTCAATCGTCAATCGTCTTCGTCATCATGACCCCAACCAGAAATCACACTCAGCCTCCTCGTCGTCACAGACGTCGTCCGCGACGACGTGACCATCATCAGCATCATCATAATCAACATCTCTAGCAGCCACATGATCAAAGCCATCGTCATCATCGTCGGAAGAATACCCCCCTCATTGTCAAGGCCTCCAAGAGGGCCCTAAAACGACCCAAGAGGGCTCCAAGACCACCCAAGAGGCCTCCAAGACAGCCGAAGAGGGCCCCAAGATGGCTCCAAGAGGGAGCCCAGACGGGGGACCCGCACGGTCATTTCGAGCCCTCGGCATGAGAAGCTCCCAGGAGGCCACCAAAGGCCCCTAAGAAGCCCCCAAAGAGGCCATAAGAGGCCCCCAAAAGACCCCCAGGAAGCCCCAAGAGACCCCCACGAAGCTCCCAAGCTGCCCCCAAGAGCCTGCCAAGAGGCCCTCACCCCCAAGAGGCCCCCGAGAGCGCTCGTCGTCGTCGTCGTCGTCGTCGTCGTCGTCGTCGTCGTCGTCGTCGCTATTCACGGTCGGCGGCACCGGCCGCAAGGCCTTCGCTGTACCCCCCCCCTTTATTGTCACACCCCACGGGCCAGTTTGTCAAATAAAACAAGATCATGACAAACGATATCATCCCGAGAAGCATGATGGACGTGTCAAAGTCCCACGACTCGAAGTGCAGTTCCTGGTGGACGGGGGGATGTCAAAAGAGAACGAGGAGAAGGATGGTGACCTTTCATACAAATCATCAATACCCTCCGCAACCAGATTAGACGCCCGTGCCATCGACTGAAGAGTGAGGGGGAAGTGAAGGGGGTGAAGAGCAGGAGGGGTGGAGAGTGCGGAAGGAAAGATAGCGGGAGGAGGAGCAGGAGGAGGGTTGAGGTGGGATAAAGAAAAAGGGAGAGGGGCAGAGAGAGGACAAGGCGGAGGTAAAGGAGGAGGGGAACCTGGATGCCGACGAGGATCCTGCGAAGGACGTGGAGGGATCGGAGAGCGCCCTCTCTCCTCCAAGCCGTTGTCCACATTCTCCCTCCTCCTCCTCCTCCTCCTCCTCCTCCTCCTCCTCCTCCTCCCCCTCCTCCTCCTCCTCCTCCTCCTCCTTCTACTCCTCATCCTCCATCTCCTCCGTCTCCTGCTCCCAGTCCTACTCCTCTTCCTCTTCATCATCATCCTCGTCCTCCTCCTCGCCGTCGCTGGCGTGATCGTCGTGGTCGCCGTCGCCGTCCACAGCAGCATCATCATCATCATCATCATCATCATCATCATCATCATCATCATTCATCATCATCATCATCATCAGCATCATCATCATCATCATCATCATCATCATCATCATCATCATCACATCATCATCATCATCATCATCATCATCATCATCATCATCATCATCGTCATCATCATCATCATCATCATCATCATCATCATCATCATCAGCATCATCATCATCATCATCATCATCATCATCGTCATCATCGTCATCATCATCATGATCAGCATCATCAGCATCATCGTCATCATCAGCATCATCCTCATCCTCATCAGCATCCTCATCATCCACATCATCATCATCATCATCATCATCATCATCATCATCATCATCATAATCATCAGCATCAGCATCAACCTCATCATCACTATCATCACCGTCATCAGCATCATCATAACAATCAGCATCATCTTCATCATCACCACCATCCTTACCTAAATCCTCATCATCATCGTCAGCATCACCATCGTCATCGTCGTCATCATCATCAGCAGTACTCTCATCATCGTCATCAGCATCATCATCAGCAGCATCAGCATCTTAATCGTCATCGTCATCGTCCGTCATCACCATCACCATCGGCATCACCATCACCAACACCAATACCATTACCACCACTGGCATCATCATCACCATCATCATCATCATCATCATCATCGTCGTCATCATCGTTGACGTTATCGTCGTCGCCATCGTCATCATCATCATAATCAGCATCATCACCATCACCATCAACCACGATCCTTATCCTTCTCGTCAGTATCATCAGAAACAGCAACATCATGATGATCGTCATTATCATCACCACCAACATCAGCATCATCATCATCACCATCAGCAGCAACAGCAGCAGCAGCAGACTTATCATCGTCCCCACGATCAGGATCATCATCAGCATCATCATCAGCATCATCAACATAATCAGCATCGTCATCATCATCAGCAGCAACAGCAGCAGCAGCAGACTCATCATCTTCCCCACGAGCAGGATCATCATCAGCATCGTCATCAGCAGTATCATCACCATCATCATCAGCATCAGCATCAGCATCAGCATAATCATCATCGCCATCATCACACACATCATCATCAGCAGCAACATCCTACACCTCAGTATCAGCAACATCAGCAGTATCGCCATCACTATCGTCACCATAATCCTCAGCAGCAGCATCGCCACCACCACCACCACTATCATCGTCAAGACCACCATCATCATCATCATCAGCATCATCATCATCAGCATCATCATCATCATCAGAAGCATCATCAGTATCATCATCACCATAATCATCATCAACAGCATCAGTACCATCATCATAACAACCAGCATCATCATCAGCCTCATCATAAGCAACGTCATCATCATCATCAGTATCATCACCATGACCATCACCATCACCAGCATCATCATCAATATCATCAGCATCCTCATCAGCATCATCATCACCGTCATCGTCATCATCAGCAGCCGCAGCAGCATCACCGTCATCATCAGCATCATCAGTATCATCATACTCAGCATCTGCATCATGATCTTCATCATCAGCATCCAAAGCATCCGAATCATCATGAGAATCATCAGCATCATCATCAGCGCCACCACGAGCATCATCATCATCGTCATCATCAGCATCATCAGCATCAGCATCATCATCGTCACCAGCAGCATCAGCATCGTCATCACCATCTTGAGCATCATCATCACCATCATCATCAGCATCAGTATCGTCATCATCATCCTCATCAGCATCACGATCATCCTCATTATTATTTCTAGCATCAACATCCTCGTCGTCATCATCATCAACCCTCAATGTTCATCCTCCACCTCGCTTTTCCATTCCGACTTCTCCATCCTCCCCATTCCTCATAAGAATTCCAAGACCTTCTCCTCATCCGTTTCATCCTTCTCATCCTCCGCCGCCTCCCCCTCCTCCTCCTCGTCCTCATCCTCGTTTTCCTCCTCGTCCTCCTCCTCCTCGTCCTCCCCCTCCTCCTCCTCCTCCTCCTCCTCCTCCTCCACCGTCGTCGCCTTCGTCCTCTTCGTGTTTCTTCGCCTTCGTATAATTCGTAATATAAGTTGTCCTCGTATTCTTAATATTCTCCTTAATCGTATTCCCACCATTATGAACATATTGTTATGGTCGTCCTTGTTCCTACTAGTATTACATCCGGTTTAGTTTTCTTCTCATTCTTAATATCCGTATTCTTAATAGTGTGATAGGATTCGTATTGATCAGGTTTTTTGTATTGGATTTATGTGTATTAGCAGCCGTCGCCTTATGATTATTATTAGTCCCATTAGTGGTACCACTCTTGTCTTGTTGTTTCTACGTTCATAGTATTATCCTCCTCCTCCTCCTCCTCCTCCTCCTCCTCCTTCTTATCATTCGTATTAGTATTAGGAGTATTCTCCTTATTATCCAGATTGGCTTGCCGTATAGGAGTCCCATGCTTCCCCCCCTTAATTCCTGTCCTATGCCTATGCCTATGTGTATGCCTCCCCCCTAACTCCCATGCCTACGCCTATGCCTACGCCTACGCGCTTGCTTGCTTTCGTGCGTGCGTGTTTGCTGGCTGGCTTGCTTGCTTGCTTGCACGCTTGCACGCTTGCTTGCTTGCTTGCTTGCGTGTTTGCTTGCTTGCGTGCTTGCTTGCGCGCTTGCTTGCGAGCCTGCTTGCACGCGCGCTTGCTTGCTGAGTTGCGGATTCCAAGCATGCGTGATTCCTCTGATTCCTTAATTTGAATCGTCTACCCTATTTGGAGTCAACGTTGGTTGATAGTATTATTCTTCGTAATATTACCCTTCGTCTACTTACTATTATTACCCTTCGTGCCTGTATTACTATTTTCTTATTCGTCTTACACTTCTTCTTCATCATGTTAATATGATTAGTGTTGCTTACTGCTCTTCTGACTGATATTGTTCCTCCTCCTCCTGCTCCTCCTCTTCCTCCTCCTCATCCTCCTCGTCTTCCTCTTACTCATGTTCCTCCTTTCCTTCCTCCTCCTCCTCCTCCTCCTCCTCATCATCATCATCCTCCCCCTCCTCCTCCCCTCCTCCTCCTCCTCTTCCTCCCCTTCCTCCTCCTCCTCCTCCTCCTCGTATTATGATTAATAATAGTATTAGTAGTATTAGTTTTATTAATATTAGTATTACTATTATTATTCGTAGTATTAGTATCATTATTATTACTAATAATAATGATATTATTAGTACGTTTAGCATGATTAGTATTATTAGTATTATTAGTATTAGTATTATTATTATTATTATTCGTATTCTTAGTATTAGTACTATTAGCACTATTATTATCAGTATTTGTATTATTAATAATAGTTTATTATTGTTATTATTATTATGATTATTATTATTAATATGTTTATTATTATTCTTCTTATTATTATCAGTATTATCATTATTATTATTATCATTATTATCAGTAGTATTATTAGTAGTATGATTAGTATTATCAGTATTACTATTATTAATATTAGTATTATTATTAATGTATATTGTTATTATTACTACTCGTATCAGTATTACTATCATTATTATTATCATTATTAGTATCATGCGTTGTCTTCGTTTCTTCTTATTATCAGTATTGTTATTATGAGTGTTCTTCTTATTATCGTTCTTCTTATTATTAGTATTAGGTGTCTGCTTCCTCTTTTTATGATTATTGTTAGTATTATTATGACTATTATAATTACGATGAGCCGTATTAGCATCATTCGTAGCATTGTTACCATTAATACTACGACTACTACTACTACTACTACTACTACTACTACTACTACTACTACTACTACTACTACTACTACTACTACAAACATTATTATTCTTCTTATTATTATTATTCCTCCTCCTCCTCCGTATCCTCTTCCTCCTCCTCCTCCTCCTCCTCCTCCTCCTCCTTTTCCTTTTCCTCCTCTCCTCCGCCTCTCCTCCCCTCCTCCTCCTCCTCCTCCTCCCTCCTCCTCCTCCTCTCTCCTCCTCCTCCTCCTCCACCTCCTTCCTCCTCCTCCTCCTCCTCCTCCTCCTCTCCTCCTCCTCCTCCTCCTCCTCCTCCTCCTCCTCCTCCTCCTCCTCCTCCTCCTCCTCCTCCTCCTCCTCCTCCTCCTCCTCCTCCTCCTCCTCCTCCTCCTTCCTCCTCCTCCTCTCCCCCCCCCCTCCCTCCCTCCTCACCTCCTCCTCCTCCCTCCCTCCCTCCCCTCCTTCCTTCCTTCCTTCCTTCCTTCCTTCCTTCCTTCTTCCTTCCTTCCTTCCTTCCTTCCTCCTCCTCCTCCTCCTCCTCCTCCTCCCTCCTCCTCCTCCTCCTCCTCCCTCCTCCTCCTCCTCCTCCTCCTCCTCCTCCTCCTCCTCCTCCTCCTTCCTCCTCCTCCTCCTCCTCCTCCTCCTCCTCCT